TTTTTTTTTTTTTTTGGTGAAATAATCAACTCGTGATTTTCTTACAGAAATTTTTAACACAAATAGAGCTTTGCCTCAGTCACTTTCTTGCTTCGCGTATTTTTTTCATTCACCTTTCTTAAAGTTCTGCACTCTAGTCGTCGTCTGATTCCATCGTTATCCAAAGAATTTGGAATAAAAAAAAGAAGAAGAAGAAGAAGAAGAAGAATCCGAGCTCGTGAACGCTCTAAAACGCTCTCGCGTGTCCCAATTTTTAAAATCATTCGACCGAGGGAGAGACACCGGGTGTCTACAAGCACCAGTCAATTTGTCCGGATATTTTCGTTCCGTCCGCTAAGCAGATGCTCTAATCGCCGTGGCAGGACATCTATTTTCTGCGCCCTTCTGCCTTCCTAGCCACGTTCTTTTCTTTTTTCTTTTTCTTTTTTTTCCTTTTTTTTTCCCTCACAAGAGGACGCGGAACAACGGCTTCGTTAGCCACGGAAGTTTAACGACGGAGACGTTGATCTAAATATACGGCATCACCAGATACATTGGCTCACGCAACGAGCGATGTGGATGCTTTTCAACCACGACGGCCGCTCCAGCGGACACCAACGAAACAGATTTCCCGAGCTGCCACGCTCGCGTTCGCCGCTTGTAAAAGTATTAATTAAAATTTCACGGTCTCGCTGCGACGGTTTTCGTGTCGGCGAAACGCCGAGCGGATCAACTTTTATTGCGCCCTCTCGGTAGAGAGAGCTCTCGCTGCCAGGGAGAACTTGCCGACTTTTTAATGGGAACTTATTTAATTTCGAGACGGTCCCTCGCTCGTTTATATTTTCATAACGCGTTTCCCGATTGTCTTGTTCTCAGCCGGCCGACTCTCGCTGGATTTAAATTAGCAAGCCTGCTTTGTTACTATCGAAAATACTGTTTCGTAAACGTTCAGCGGAAATTGATTGACCGTATAATATTATCTATTATATTATATCATTTGAAACTATGCGTTGAAATACAATTTATTGTACGAATAGATTGTTATTTGATAGAAATTCTAGTGTTCGGTTGGATGAAAGTAAATGAGTAATTATAGAACGAAATATTTTGTCTTAATCTGTTGAATGGATTGTATTTTTTTCTATATATCCAGCAGTTATCCAGAAGAAAGTTAAAATCCTCCGAGACATTTTCAATTATTTTCTTCTTTACAACGTGGTATAGCTTAAAAAAAAATCACACGAATGGATCTTTCAATTAATATACATACGTTTCTACAATATCTTCCTGATAGCTACAATCTCGAGTGCAGTATAATTTTTCTCCCGGCAACGGAGTCAAATTTTTGTTACAAACGATTCGAAGCTACTCCGACGATATTACGTGCCAGCAAAAGGAAAAGAATACATTCTTCTACTCCGTTTCTTCTTTCTCCCCGCGCAACGTACACTGCCTCGCATAAATAACAAATACTATCCACCTAACGTAACACATATATTCTAGACTTTACTTCGACCCTGCTTCGACAAACTAATCCCGCTACCCCTATCTTTTTTCCACCCTTCACGCTCTCGTGGCCAATTCTCTTCCGAGCCACATAAAACACACTTACGGAAACCATCTTATTTCATCCGTAACGTTAATGATATCAATCTTCCGGCCGAACCGAATCGTGACACTGTGTGTACGTACACACAGTCCGAATCCCGTGCAGCAGATCGGAGGAGAAACAGGGTCGAAGGTAGTCTCTCTGCCGACTCACGTCCTCCCCATCCGGGGTTGGTTTAGAGCCGCACACGTCGCGCTATCCCAGCCATCCACGTCCCTCACCATTTGCTCTCTTAATTGCACTTAGGTCAGATCGCTGTATAGCCTTACAAAAGCCTATAAATCTTTCGGTCGACGCGGTGGGTCTTGCCCATGGTCAACCAGCTCTCGGTGGCTAACTTGCTTCCCACCCAGTTTCCGGAACTGCCCTGGCCTACATACGCGTGTTTATGTGTGTACAGGTTGTTTCAGAAATAGGTAGCCGTGAAAGTATCCGTACAGTTAGTTATTGGCGAAGATGAATGTTTAGTGGAATATGGGCTCGGACTATCGGTTAGTTAAAATTTCGAAGATTCTTCAGCGAATTTTAAAGATTTTTTTCCAAATCTTTAGTAACCAGTAGACAGTTAAGTTAAAGATACGCTACGTTTGCAATCGTCCATTTCTGAAACTTGCAGAGGCAAGGTTTAATTACCGAGAGCTGATTGACCTAAATATAATTAGAGTCACTGTACATTCTTTTCTTTCACCTACAGAAAGAGCAAAATACTAAATGCTAAACAAGAGTTTCGTCAACCACCTTTGAAACATCCTGTGCACGTAATACACGCACGAGTGTGCCCGTGTGTGCGAAGAACACTGTGCACACGTGTCAGAGAGATCGCGTGTACGCGCAGCTTAACGCTTCGGAACGACGCGGCGGGATTCCAAACGAGGATCGAACGGTAGCTCGTCGTGTTCGACGGGGCTCTCGGAAACGCTGACGTCGGCTACGTTTAATTGTACGTCTACGACACAATGTTCGATCGGCTGATTATTATGCAACGCCCATTCGATACACTTACCCGCCGAGGACCCC